GGTATATGAGTCTAAACTATTTCCCACTCTTGACGGGAAGTTCCTAGAGAATTTTTACATGTAATATTCTTAAGGATAACCCGATCATGTAACTCAGTATGATGTTAGACCCAGTTTCGTGAAGGAAGCTGAGGGTGGATGGTTCATGTAACGGGAAGTTCTTGGAAGAATGCTATATGTAATTTTCTTAGGGATAACCCGATCATTACAAACAAAGTGATAAACACTACATCCCCACGGTGATTTCCGAATACTCTTTTGTTGAGATGAGATTCGATCACTTCTTTAGATCAATCTTCCCTCATAAAACTCACATTTGGTCAAACCTTCCTACAGTTAGGACCAAAGCCAAAATCCCCTCTCGATTCCCTCCATGAACGAGAGGTCCACAAATTGAACGATCAAACCTTTAAACAGTTAGGATCGTCTCAAATTCCCACATGGTCAAACCTTTAAACAGTTAGGACTAAAGCCAAAATCCCCTCTCGATTCCTTCCATGAACGAGAGGTCTACAAATTGAACGATCAAACCTTTAAACAATTAGGATCGTCTCAAATTCTCATTTGGTCAAACCTTTAAACAGTTAGGACCAAAACCAAAATCTCTTCTCGATTCATTCTATGAACGAGAGGTCCACTTTGAATTGGATAATCAAACCTTATGACAGTTAGGATTATTCAAACCAATCCAGATTCTCTAAGTGGAGATCCCACTTCGAGTTTCCTTTGCACTCAGAGATAGAATATAAAATTCTTCTTCTCCATCATCGGGTTCATCTCTACCAAAAAAAGAGAGACCAGGAGATAGAATATAAAATTCTTCCTCTCTATCATCAGGTTCATCTCTACCAACAAAAAAGAGACCATATTACTCCAATAGGTACACGAGTCTAAACTGTTTCCCTACCCTCAATAGGAAGTTTCTGGAGAATATTACTCAAAATATTCTTAAGAATAACCTGATTACCTCCCAACGGGTATATGAGGTTGAACTATTTCCCGAACACTCCAATAAAGTATATGAGTATAAACTATTTCTCCATTCTTCAATAGCAGTTCTAATTCAAGACTTCGACGACGGTCACGCGATAAACGCAGCACTGAAGGAAGTTTAGCTATTCTACAAAGCACTGAATAGGCTAAAAGATGAAGAAGCCAAAAGTTGAAGCCATTTATGGGTCCTTCCGTACAATCTACTCAATCAAGTACTGAAAGGATTAAAAGTTAGACTCATCTTATCCAAAGTATCCCAGACTCTTCTATAAAGGAATGAGTCTGGAATACTTTGGAGGGGGTATTTGTAGGCGTCAAAAAATACTAAAAGATATCCGAATACAGCTCAAAAAGGATATCATCCAAAAAAGTTAGAAGAACACAAGTATGGGCTGTCTCGCACGCGAGACAGTCTTTACTGTCTCGCATGCGAGACAGTCTTTTCTGTCTCTCCAGGCGAGACTGTCTTTTCTGTCTTGCCGTGCGAGACAGTTCTCGCCATGCGAGACAGTATTCTCTGTCTCGCCCGCGAGACAGTATTCTCTGTCTCGCCCGCGAGACAACTCTCAAAAAAGTCAGAAACTATTCTGTAACTGCCGACACGTAGCCACCAACTGTTTAAGAACGTGGGAAACGTCGTGGGCGAGAATCACGTTGATAACTGCTAAAATAATGGAGTTGTAAATCGTGGGAAAGCAGTTACAAGAAAACTGTCAGGCGGTTGATGATTTTCGAGATAGTATTTACTGTCTCGGAACCCGAGACAGTGTTTACTGTCTTGGAACCCGAGACAGTCTTTACTGTCTCGGCCGCCTCTCGGAAGCACTATTTCGTCCAGGGGTTATAAATACCCCCCTGAGATCATTTTTGGGAGAGGGACTGATCGCGAGACTGATTTCAGAGCAGACAGAGCAGAGTTCCTGAGCTTCTGGCAATTCCTTGAGATTCGAGCTTTGACTTGATCTTAAGAAGAACGACTATCTTACTTTGATAAGATCTCGTTTCAAATTCTCCCTTCGATAAACGAAGGAAGAATTATTAAACCCCTCACGATTCAATCAGAATCTGTGATTTGGTGGTCCACGAGTCAAAGCGCTCCCGGCACAGGCAAAGATCCCACGCAAGCAGCGATCCAAACAATGATCATGCGTTTGTTTCTCAAGAGTTGTAATTTTCCTTTTGTTGTGTAAAAGAAGTCTTATAAAAAGGCTATTTCTTTTGAATTTATTATAATCGACTGAAGATATAATGAATTCCACAACGAGAGCAACTTTTGCTACAAACAATGTGGCGAAAGTTAAACAGAATCTTTAACTAACCCTTTTGAAAAAAAATCCTCAAAATTTTATCCCTTCTCTTTTCCCCCTATTCTTTGTTATGTGAGAGAGAAAAAAAATTATTCTCCAAATTGTAGAGATTCTCTAACCAGATTTCGATTATCTAACACAATTTTAATCGTAGGAGGAAGAAGAACACCCAATTTGATTTTCACACTTTTGAGTCCTACTTTTTTTTTTTTTTTGGGGGGGGGGAATTTTTTAGCTCAAATAAATAAGCTCAACTACTTGTCACGTAAGAAGCTACATTAGCATCACTTAACGAAGCACACTTAACATTTAGTCGCCTAAAAATTGCTTTGAAAAAAATAACCTTATTTGTCACCATGTCCCACTTTATATGCCTTATTATCATCGGAGTAAGACAATATTCGAAGTGGTACTTAAGGTTAATAAAATATACCAATCTAATAAGTTAGCTGATATTAATGTGTAAGCTTTTCACCTAAATCCTCACCAAAACTTGGGATTTGGCAAATTTTAAAATTGAGTAAGATATGAGGAATCTTATTATGATCTAAAAAGGGCTAAATGACACTTAAATACATTATAGTTTCACCCTCTTAACACTTATATACTCTTAGTTATATTTTGTAACATTTATATAACCTGATTTAGTCAAAATGGCATATTGATACCATATATTTTGCAAACGTGAAAATGCTTATCTAAAAGTTTACATATAACATTTATATGCTAATCTTATAAGTTTCTCACTATTAAGTTTGTTCAGTTTATTATTAAATCTTTCTAAAAATTATTTTTAAAATAGAATTATAACACATTAAAACTAGAATTTGGTAGATTTAATAGTAATTTAATAAATATTAATAGTTAAAAAGCTCTAATATCTATATCTATCTATACTACTATAAATAGAGGATTAGGGTGTTAAATTTTTTAAATTTTGATAAAGTCTAACTATGTCCTTATATGTAATTAATCTTTTATTAAATAAACATAACCTCTTATTAATTATGCACATTCTCACTTTCCTTAATAATTATAATTATTAATAACATTATAACTATTAATTGTTTAAAAATAATATAATAAAATAATTTACAACATAAGTATGCATGATTATCTATAGTAACCAATTAAATTATTATAATTATTATTTATGAATTATAATACAATAATTAAAATAATAATATAAATAGAGAAATATATTACAAAATACTATTAAGAATTATACTATAATTCTTAATAGTATTTTGTAATATATTTCCAATGAGAAAAATAAATAGAGTTAATATTTAATCGCATAAATAGTGTAATTATTTTATTAATATCATATAAATTATGAATTACACTATTTATATAGTATTATATTATTAAATAAATTAAATGAATAATTTAATGATATTTTTATAGTATTTTCTCAAAGATTATTACATGATACTAAATAATCTATACTTGGTAATGATTAAAAACTAATATTTTTTCAAAATATATTTAATATTAATTATTATTCTATTAATTCTTAATGATAGTATAATAAAAATTTATAAAATATTTACAATACTAAATTATTTAAGAGCATAAAAAAATTAAATTAGATAAATGTTTTATAGTATATAGATAGTATAATTAAATTAGATGAATTTTTATCATTTTGTAGTAATATGAACTTTCTAAATCACACTAAACACTTAATATCTTTTATAGGAAACCCCTAATATCTTTTAGATAAATTACACTAAACCCCCAATAACTTTCAAAATGTCTTTTTATGCCATTTTTTGGTTCAAATTTATAGGGGTTATCTACAAAATTCAGAAAGTTATTGGGGTTTTCTTTGAAACAGACTTGTCATTAGGGGTTTATTGTGATTTTTAAAGTTCACAAGAGCTAAAAGTTCATAGGAGTTGAAAGTTCATAAAGGTCTAGTATAATTTACTCTATTAAATAATTATAATGAGAAATACCATTACAATATGTTGCAGGTGTTAAGTATAACTATCTAGGAAACATCAAGAAAAAGTTAGCAATATTAATGCAACTTATTTAATTTAGAGTTAAGTTAACAACTTTCAAATTGGAGTGTAAATTTAAGAAAACTTATAGAAACCTTTCGATGTTAGGGACTTATTTAAAAATATATTAGCATTGGCAATCATTATAAGAAAAACATTCAATTACAATAACTACACAATAATAATTAATTCATACATTTCTTTTTAAGCAACCTTATTATACAATTTTATTTATTAACACATAGTTTTACTATTTAATAAAAAATTCAAAACTTAAAACATATACGTTTACGTGTAAAAAACATGCAATATACTAGTTAACATAAGAATGCTATAAGGAAGCTTTCAGATAATAGTTTTTATATTTGCATAATGTAGGTTATTAACATGCTAATTTTGACCAACTAAGGATATAAATACTACGAAATACAAGTGAAGGTATATAAGTATATAAGTGCTGAAGGAGTGAAAGTACGAGGTATTTAAATGCTATTTAGCCTATAAGAAGAGGCATTTTTGTTCCTTTTCATGCTTTTCCACCACAAGTCCCATAATTTAAAATCCGTCCCAGTTCGTTGGACCTCGAATCCTAGCTCATGTCCTTACCAGCATTAAAGCCTATTCGACGGCCCAAACACGGCCCACACGAAGTATTTCTTGCTTCCCAAGACCTCCTAAAAGGCCAGCAACTCTTTTATTCCTCAGGGAATCCAGCTTTCTTTTCTTCCTCTCCCTCTCTCTCTCTCAACCCCAAACCCTAGCAAAACTTAGGGTTTTCCTCTCCCCTCCACCGCCATGGGAACACCCGAGACTTCACGCGAGCCCTGCCCCGACCGAATCCTCGACGACGTCGGCGGCGCTTTCGGCATGGGCGCCGTCGGCGGCTTCGCGTCTGGCGGTGGACTTTTCTCTGGTTTCGATGTTGCTCGATGGTTTATTTGAGGCAGAAGGAGATCCTGTGGAACTTCCATCGTTGCCGGAGCGCGACCGGGCGGACCGGCGGGTTCTTGCAGATGCGTCAGGGCGCTAGGTCTGCTGCTAGGTGAGAAAGTTTGATCTTTGTGTAATATTTTGAGATAAGTCCCCTGAATCGGTAATATTTTGACATCAACCCTTGAATCATGGAAATTGCTATTTGGGACCCTTCAATTTCTTGAAAAGTTAGATCTATTGTTATCATTATTATTATTATTTGTCAGGATCAGGTTAGGACTAGGGAACGCCTTCGGATATTGAGTATATCGATGGTTTGATGTAAGTTTATGGAGATCCTCTCTTTTAGGACTACGCTCTCTTAGGTCAGGATTCGGGATAAAATCATTGATATTTAGGACACCTTACTTGCTCTGTGTTGAGGTTTGAGGGGTTGAAAGCTTTCAGGAGGTGTGAATATTTGTTTTGAAGTGATAGATCATGGAACTTGGAAGGGTTTACTTAAGGGAAAATTACACATAATCTCCTTGAGGCCTGCAAAAGTGACAATACATCTCCTTAAGATTTTAAAAGTAGCACTTTCACCCCCTATCATTGTTTTCTCTACCAAAACCAAGTAACATTAGTAACATCTGACCCTTTAATAGGCAAAAGTACTCTTTTCAATGCTTAAACCAAGGGGATGTGATGAACAGGGAATGAAGAATCCTTGAATGCAAGGACTTTCTCAATTTATAGAAGACTTGTAAACAAATAATTCTTCTTCTTTTGTAAAATCGCTGCTAAATAAATTAAAAAAATATTGCAAAACCTTAACCAATATATAGGTAAAATCGCAAAAAAAAAACTTTTTGAAAAAAATAGTAGGCGAGCAGATCACAGGCGAAGGGATCATCATCTTCGGTGAAGGAATCGTAAGCAACTGAGATTTGATGGATACCAGTGAGGAGTTG